ACTCGTACTCATACATGCCCCATTTTTTGGGCTTTTTCGTTGATTGCTCTTGACATTTTTTTTGTGAGGGAAAAATCATCAAATTATTTTGATGTCCATGCCGGGCGTCTGCGCAGGGTGGGCTGGAGGGAGTATCAGACTTTTTGTGGTTTAAAACGCTCCAATTTTTTCTCATGTTCTAGGCCGAGGCCGTCGTGCCATATTGCGCTTGCTCGCAACCCCGGCTCAAATTGCTCTTGACCTTGACTTATAGATACTGCAACTTATTTCTTACATGTTTTCATTGCCGGCTTTTAGGTTCGCGGGTTCACTATTGAAGCGTACTCTGTCAGAGTCGCTGGCGGTGGGCGGCGGCAGTGGCGCGGACGCGGCGGAGCTGTACGGGCGCGAGCCTCGCGCGCTGCCCCCGCGTCCGCTGGCGCTGGCGGCGCGCTCGCTGTCCTTGGAGCTCGCCCGCCACAAACATCGACTAGCTGCCCATCTCGTACGTACTGCATCTACTACCCTTTCAACTCTGACAAAATCTCGGGATAAAGGATAGATTCTTGGAACACCAACAGTTTCTGGTGTCTGGACTTGTATGACCCCTTAGAAGTCACAGACATCTGGAAACCGAGAACGATTCAGGCTATAGACTCGACAAAAAAAACTCCATGGACTAGTGAAGAGAATTCGTCTGGTCTTTTTTTAAATCGAGCTTAGTGCCTCAACTTGTACATTATCTTAGTTTACTCCACAGAGACATAGGCTTCGTATATTCAGAACTAACATAGCTGCCCTACATAGAAAGAGTGATTAACAAACCATGCTAATCTATTAACTAATCAAGGTAAGTTATAGACTTCAGCTGGCTGATGTTTCTTAACAAATCTTCGGTGTACATGGCTTCGAACAAATTCAATAACAAAATGAACCAATCGGTGCTATAATGCTATATGTTTTGACAGAAACGTAAAGTAAAAGAATCTATACCGGAGGAGATAATTGAGGGCACGCGAGCGACCGCGACCGCGAACACGGGACGCGGCGACGAAGCCAAAAGTACAGACACGACTGAGTCAGACACTGGGTCCAACCGCGGGCTCAGGAGGAAAAAGTTGAACTGGATGATAAACATGATCGTAGAGACGATCGAGGAGACCGTCGAGTGCGAGCCGGTCACTGTAAAGCTAAAGAAACCGAAGGTCAGGCGTGCACCCGGCTGTCGCTAACTTGTAAACACTCAGTACTAACATTACATACACTGATCGTACGTCTTCGCTTTCTGTCGAAACATATACTTCTGTGTTGCATGATATAACTCAAGCTAAGTTTGGGGACACGGTTTCGCGTTCATGCGTTGCGTGCTACGAACGCAGAACGCATGGATGCGTCCTGAGCTCAATAAGCTGTAAGCGACCCACTGTTTGTATCGCACGGTCTTTTAGTCCTCATCGTCCAAAAGTCGAGTTCAGAAGTTATGTAAACGCTAACGCTCGATGTTCACATGTTTCCATTGTGTTCTATGTCCGTCCAAATAAAGTGAGCTATTTACTTCAGCTAATATTACTTATACCTCTGTAGAAACAACGTGTGGTAGACTTTGAATTAAGTAACTGTACGGAGCCGCTAATCACTCGCTTGAAATCTTATCATAAGAATATATAAGAAGGTGTTATAGGTGTGTGACGGTAGTTTAAGATTCCGCAATCCATCCCTTCCTTCCTTCCTTCCTTAAAGCCGGTAGCGCACTAATAGCTCTTCTGGTGTTCATAGGCGCTACCGGTTGCTTACCATCAGATAATCCGTCTGATCATTTGCCGACCTATCACATAAAAAAAGATATAGAGAGATGCCCACTTACTTTTTTTATATACCTACAGCGTACCTACTGTAAACCTACAATCATCACTTCATTATCTCTCATCTCCCAGTCTTAATACACCTAGACCTAGGTACCTTACTCCTGGATAACTTACCTCCAAATGCCACTTAACAACAACAGAGGAAAATGTACCTACTGCTAGTAGACTAAGGGGAAGATAAGTACCAAAAAGATATTGATCTGACCTTCTTGAATCCTTACTTCGAGTCTCCAAGCTACCATATGGTGTATGTAGGGTCAACTCACCTAATTGTGTGACTTAATTCAGAGATACCTTCAACGTTTTGGACTCTTCCACAGCTTTAAATTCAACAGATTAAATACATTAAACTGAACTCTACATACAAAGGCCTACCTAGGATTTAGTATTGGTGAGTTAACCCTACCTGCGAGTGTAATTATAATAGTGGTGGCTCAGAGGTTAAGAGGCCTCAGGCTCAGCTGTGAGCACTAATAGGCTGATGATGAACAAGTGTAATATGTGGGATGGTGAGTGAAGTTGATCGCGACACGGTTCGCAGCTGTCGCAGTTGGCGCAGAAGATGGTGTCGGGCGGGTCGTGCCGGCCCGTGGCCACCGGCAACTGGGGCTGCGGCCGCCGTCTGCGCGGGCACGCCCAGCTCAAGCTGCTGCTGCAGTGGCTCGCCGCCAGCGTCGCCGGGGTGCCAGCTCTCATCTACTACACCTTCGGCAACGAAAAGCTCTTCAAGGTATCCTTTAAAGCTCTTACCAAGCCTCGTTAATTAAGTAATCCAAGGATGTCACAAACATAATCATACCTAACTAGGTAATCTTATATCCTGCTAGGTATAAGAATGTTGTGAGAATGTATGGATGTATGTTTGTTATTCTTTCACGCAAAAACGGCTGGACAGATTTAGTTCAAATTTGGTATGTAGATAGGTGATATTGTGAATTCACATGAAAATTAATCCCGATAGTGGAGTGAACCCTTTTGATGACCTTGTGACGGTTTGCTAACAAAACACATTGACTGACACAAGGTTGTTAGACATTTGTGCGAAGCAGGGGCGACTAGTTAATAATTAAATACTCATATAATTGAGTTGGTAAAATTCGATATTGTCAGTGTAGGGTACCTATAAGTTTTATGTTCTAGAAATAATGGAGGTACACTACCCTTGTGGGTATAGAAAAACAGTTGCAAAAACACTAATAGATATCCTTAGGATCAACAGTCTTTTTTCAATCAGTTTTCCTACTTGTCAAATAATTACCTAATAAAATTCTCTCCGCAGTTGGACACTCTCGTCAGGGTGCTAGTGGATAGAAAATGGACGGTGGGCCAGCTGGCGCGCGCAGTGCTCAAGTTCGCGCGACAGACGCTCAACGAACCGCACGTCATACCGGACAACCATTCGCTGTTCGACGAATTGATAGGCATCGAGAAGATACCTGACGACACATAGCCAACACTCACCTAACGCAGGGCTCCACGACAAGACTTACAGTATAACTGCGTCACAACAATTTCTTAGCAAATGGAGTGATAATGCGCGAGCTACAACTGGGAACAAACCGTCTGACGCTCCACCAGTGATCGTTCAAGACCCAGCGTTCTGCGGGCCGCGCAAATTTAAATTACTTTAACCATGCGGAGTAATATATAGTAGCACTCTCTTTGCTTATTACTCCGCGCCACAATAAGTTAGCGTTCGTTCAGTCACTGCTGTAACTCATTAATGCATTTATGTTATTCCGTCATCATACTCAATAGTAAGGTGGTTCAACTGTGTCTTATTTTAAATAATGTTTGTGGACTTTTAGATATTTTTTACGAAATAGTTACATAAAAGCAATATTAGCATTTGATTCTATTTAAAAATACAAAACTTTAATAAAGTATTTTTATACAAAACTATCGATTAAAGTACAATTATAAAATTTACCTTAATGTAAGTTTTATCAAGGCATTGTTAATAAAATTGAATAAAAAAAACTAATGTCAAGTGATTTTTAATTACAAATTTTAATAAATTTACATAAATTATAGGGCAGTGCTAATATTAAGACTGTACTGTTTATAAAGGTTTCTAGTTTTCATTTTTTTTATAATCACAAATACGTAATCGATCATCGTAATAAAGATATCAGCATTCAACTGTAAATACTGAATGAGTTATTCGAAACCATAACATACATGTAGCTTGACAATATTATTATCCTGTTAAAATATAATAAAATATAACAATTACGTCACCTCCGGTCGCCATAATTCGTGTCTTAGAGACTTATCTGACAAAGTCTTCCATACCATGAATCTCAATGTGTCCAAAGTTGTTAATTTTGAAGTGAAACTATAAAATTTCGAACGGGATGCGTAAATAAAAATAATGCGTCACATAATTTGTGTATTATTTTGGTTGTTATTGTTAATGAAACAACGTCAATTTAAAAGGTACATGTTTTATTTAAGTAGCTAGAAAATCAGTCACTGTGTCAATTTTATGAAGTGTGACATTTGCAATTAGCTTACATAATGAGAATGGTTATGATTGCAAAACAATTCCAATCATTATTTAACATTGCAATACACATCGAGTTTTGAACCAAAAACAATAATAATAGTTGTAGTATTTATTTTGTGTTAAGCAAATTTTTAATCATATTCTCATACTCACTATTAAACAGATGAACACCTCAGTGCCGTGGCGCCTCATGATGCCCATGCAGCATATCGGTTGTACAGATTTATTATGGTTACAGCCTTAGAGACATAATCGCGTTGTAGCAGAACAAACAAGCGTGTCTATAAACCGGAATGCTCCTGTCGCCACGACACGTATGTTTCCGTATTCACAAGTTTTCCATAGAGATTTAGTTAGTATATGTATTTTTTCTTAATAATAAGAATAACAACTTGTATGAAGTTATTCTTTGGTATTCACTAGAGATCGCCAATGACGTGCACAGTAGGTACTGTTAGTTTAACAAGATTCTGATAGTGTTGAGTTTATACAACTATGAGTTGAAATTACCAAATATTCAGCTGATCCAGAAACCAACACGTTGTTAACTCATAAATTCTCACATTAAAAACTAAAATTCTTTAAATTGTACTGAATATAGAATCTGTGGAAAAACCCTTGAGTGCTATTTTAACAAAAAAAAAATCGATAAATGCATTTTTTCCACACACTCTATAATATTCTAGTAACTGTACAAAAGTATTTAATAGTAATTATCACCCTAAAAGAACAGCCCTCTCATGCGGCGCCCCATGCCCTGTCTATCGTAGAGTACGTTGAATCTGTTCACTAGCTGGTTGATTGCATTGCAGCCCTTTGTTATTGTGCCCAGGTAAGTCATGAGAGCGACGTCATTACATTGCTGAAATACAAAATAATTTTATTACTAAATATTTTAAGCAAAATATCTCTACTGTATAAACTTCATCTCATCAAAATTCACCGTCTGGCTTACTAGTAATAACACAACAAACAGGTAAGAAATGTAGAAAAGCAATACATACATTATAGAAGTGTGTGCGGAACTGTTGTGAAGTGAGAAGAGGCAGTCGGTTGGAAAGTGCGCGGGCTTCCCGCAGCAATGCAGGCCGCGGTGGCAGCGTGCCATCACGGATCGCACGCACCGTCGCTAGCACGGCACGCACTCGAGACACTAACATCTTTATAGCGGAGCGCTGCGCTGTTAGGTGCTCAGCCACTAAAACAAACCAGTATAAGATGAGGAATCACAACATTTATGTGGATTAGTTAGCAGTTATAAGTAAGACCAACGAAATTAAATGATTAATTTCGTGATCTTAAATCTATAGCATAGATTCTATACCTACTTATTATAAAATGGAAAATTAGAGCTGAAGAGTGTTTGTTTGGTTGAACACATTATTATAGCTAGCTCTGGTACAGCTTGAATTTTAAAATTATTCCTGTGATTAGTCAGTCCATTATCCAAATAGGACTACAGACAGTATAACATAGCATGCTACAACTAACAGAAACTGAGTGTTGGGTAAAACTGTGTGGGAGTCATGGCAATTATTATCAGAAACCTCACCTAAACTGTTAAGAGCAGCTTCACCAGAAGAGACTCGAGCTACATGATCTACACCAATTCTCTCTGCCTCTTCAGCTGCCAATGTGTATGTGAGAGGTGCCAGCAACATTGTGGCTCTGCCATTTACCACATCTATTACAGATTCATACAATACCACAGGCAGTTGCTGAAATAAAATGCAAGAAGATTTCATTAGTAAATTGTAAATAAAATTTACAATATATGTAAGTTTTAACAGTTTTATGAGTGATATAGTGCATTTATGTGCAAAGGACCACTCTTAAGTTCAGTAACCAGGTCAGTCAAAGTATGTATTACAGAAATTTCTGGTCTTAAATATCCCTGGGTGGGGCAAGAGGGAGTGTCATACTCATATTTGCTTAAAAACCAAGCCATTTCTTGTGCTATAGGGCAGTGGAATATTATTGCACCTGGCACAACCCCAGAATTCATGAATATTTCTAGAGGTTGATTATTAGTAACAACTAAGGGGTCATCCATAAAGTACGTCACACGTAAAGGGGGTGGGGAGGTCGACAAAGTGTGACATGGTGTGACAAGGGGTGGGTAGGGGTTCTAAGTTTTGTGATGTCACATTTCAAAATCTAATACATGTAGAGGTATCAATCAAACTAAAAAATATTTTCGACTCTATCTTTAGGAAAACACGTTTTAAGATTGTTGTGTTGACGAGTTCATACTCGCTCTAATGACACGCGTCGATCGCCGACGAGCCCTTTGACGAATGCTGCCAACCGCGCCGTACATCGATATTATAAGGGGGGTCAGTAAAATGTGACCATCTGTGACAGGGGGGCTCAAAAAATCATGAAATTCATGTGACATACTTTATGGATGGCCCTCTGGAGTAATACATCCAATCTAAACTTCACAAGCTCTTAATACAGTGTGCATAGTAAAAAAATGATCAAAAAATACAATACTGTTGGCCCACTCACATCTCCATTTCTTCCCGCTGGGTTGAGCATGAGCATAACTGGACACTCATTGATTTCACAGATCTGACGGTGGATAGCTATGTCCTTGTCGGTTGGAGCGTCTCCTGTTGTATACCAGCCCAAGAAGTCCATATCAGAGAATACTTGTTTGACTGTATTGATAAACATATAATATGATAAATACAGTGAACATTAAGACATAAATCTGCTATAATACATATGTATTTCTACTTGACCAAAAAGCCCGTGAATACTTACATTGTTCCTCCTTTAAATTGTAATAATCTCGATCAATTAAGATATCACCCTCAATAACACTGAACATTAATTCAAATGAATTCATTACTTCTATGTTTCTGCCTTTTTGCTTGCCAATCAGTGCTCCAATTACTGAAATATTAGAATAAATATTTGGTTACAAATAATGAAACATAAAGTTACTTACTTAACATTAATTTAATCATTTTTATAATAAATGAACAGCCTACCTATTTGTGGAGACCCTTCTTGTGCCCGCAGTCTCGTCCAATGTTCAGACACATTCATTATAACGAGAGGATGCAATGATACTGTTACAGATCCTGAAGTGGCCGTTGTAACTACGACGCTCTTTGTGCAACCTGGTGCTGCAGGAGCTGGAGATGTGGGGTTAGGAGGATCCACAGCCGGCCCTGATGAAGCACTTTCCACCTCTACTTCCATTTCAAAATCAATTCTGTCGGCACTCGACATGATTAAGTAGGCTTTCTGTACAAATCTTAATAGTACCAAATTACATTCACTACAGTTAGCAAGCAATACACATAAATTAATCAAAATAAGTAACTGATTGAGGATAAAAAACAATCAGACGAACAATCGAAAAATAGCCAGCTCCTATTTGTGTCAAAATTCAATATTGTCATTTTCAAAAATGTCAAAATCAAATCCTATTTTATCCTGTGGTTATTGTATTTAGCTGAAAGCAGAAACACTTTTTGGTTTAACTTGTTATTCTATTCGTTACGATAGACGTTGATCCATTACTATGAAAGTTGTATGTTTCGTAATTCGTATAGGTACTGTTGATTCAATTTTGTTTTGGAATTATTACAAATATTTATTTATTATTTTTTATCTGTCTCACTTATCTCTTTGCCAAATTGTTTGACGAATATACAGTAATTATCTGTTGTAAATTGTCTATGATTGGATTGGTTGTGTTTGTGATTACTTGGTTATAATTATTAGTAAAATGAATGTCGTTTTATTTGATAACATTTGTTACCTAAATTAAAAAAAAACTATAATGATAAGTTTATTCCATTGAAAACTGTGCATTAAAAGAACCTAACCCCTAGTTGGAACTCATCGATCTTTATCATCCACCTGTCACCGAGTCTTCAGCGCGGAGTGTGGTGTTTTTCTCAGGTCAGCAGATATCTCTTTCTCATCATTAACATAAAAATGGCAACAGCAACAGCTTTAAAAGCCATGGCAGGCGTATCCAAAGACATATCACCGCTATACTACAGGATATTGTCGAAATTCCCTCAAAATTTTACTTTCTGCTTCGCCTATGGATCTGCTGTGAAACCTCAAATAGGCAACAATAAAAAACAGAACATGATCGATTTAATTTACTGTGTGGACAACTCGTATCGATGGCATGCGGCTAACATCGAAATAAACCCTTCACACTACTCTGCACTGAGATACCTAGGCAAAGGATTTGTCGCAAGGTTCCAGGAGAACTGGGGAGCCAAGGTATACTTCAACACCCTAGTTGAAATGAAAGAAGAAAACATAATTATTAAGTATGGGGTTGTCTCACAAAAAGATTTAATTGCTGATCTTCTCGACTGGAATGATCTGTACCTAGCTGGCAGACTGCACAAACCAGTAGAGATTATTAAAAAAACCAACAGCACACAACTCCAGGGTGCTCTCCATTCAAACTTACGCTCTGCAGTCCATGCAGCATTGCTCACTTTGCCAGAGACATTTTCTGAGTACGACTTCTACTTTGCCATATCTAACATTAGCTATGCAGGTGACTTCCGAATGACATTTGGAGAAAACAAAAACAAAGTTAGAAACATAGTGCAGCCACAATTGCTAAGTTTTCGTGAATTATATCGTCCCATTATACAGCAGTTTAATGCCTATGTTGACATCCCAACTGGAGATGCAAAATGTCATCAGGATATAAATCCAGAGACAAAATTGCACCACTTAATGCAGTTACCGATGGCACCCCAGCAAAGAATTGTCAAGTTTTGGAACCATGGTGGTTTGCAACAAGATATGGAGGATGTCCTACGGGCAGTGGCATATGATATAGACTGTGCTGTTGTACTGCAACAAATACTGAAAGGCATAGTGTGGCAGTCCAGTGTGAGGCAATCTTTGAAGGGGATATTGACAGCTGGTTTTCTCAAGTCTGTTCGTTACAGTGCTAAGAAAATAGCAAAAATGTTTTAATTGTATTTATGTATTGTATATATATGTAATAAAGTAGTAAGTAAATTAGCCTCTTTTTATTCCTGATTTTAAAACCTCTTTTTTGTTTCTAGGTACCAAAATGATTTCAGATGAGTCAAGCAGTGATTCAGAAACAGGTAGATTTAAAGGTCGTGCAAAGACTCAAGATGATAAGTCTAATCAAAAGGCTGATGATATAAGGGACTTGGGAAGGAGTAGACAATCTGGAGCTGAGAGATTTAATAGAAACTTTGACAGGAAAAGAGAGGAGCGATCCCACTCTGATCGATATTCTAGAGATAGAGAACGAGATCGCGATAGACACAGATATTCTAGATATTCTCCCGTAAATAGGAGGAGGCATTCAAGGGATAGAAGTCCAAATAGAAAACCTCATGATAGTAGGATCAGAGAATCTAGTGAAAAGACAAGGGTTAAAGAACATAGAAGTAGTAGTAGAGATAGACATAAACATTCTGGATCCACCTCTCGATCTTATGTAGCTCATGATTTTAGAAAAGAGAAAGAAGTTAAGGAGGATGTACGTCGTAAACTAGAGCATGATAGAAGTCGTGAAAGGTCTATAAAGAAATCAAAAGAGAAATCATTATCTCCTGATCATAGATCCAAAAGATCTGAAATATATAAACCCCCACCTACTGTTGCGCAAAAGAGAAAAAGTGAAAGCCCAATAGTTATTGAAGAGCACGATAGCGATGCATCTGCGGAAGTACAGCCGGGCTCTTATTACAGCATGATCCCAGCTGTTGTTAAGGAGAAAACAGATGAGTCTAGTGAGATTGATTCTTCTGACGATGAGAGGCTTAGGGCGAAACTTCTGAATTTGGAGAAAGAACTACAAAAAACAAAAAAGAAGAAACATAAGAAAAAACACAAAAGAAAAAGTTCTAAATCCAGCAAAGACAGGGAGAGGGATACTTCGGTATCAGTAGAAGTAAGTAGTACAACTGACATTGATGTAAAAGCTGATCTAGCAATAAAGCAAAATGAACCTGTGGAGGATGTTGTGGTCTCTTCCACACAAAAAGGTGCTCAAAAAGAGAGTTGCGAAGAAGGCGAGATATCAAGTGACGATTCTCAGAATGCAATTGACATTGATCCAACAGACTTGAGGCATAAGTTGAGGCGCTCGGCTCCCAGGGGTGAGGACAAGTCAGCCGTGGACGTGTGCGGGCCTGCGCTGCCGCCACATCTCGAGAAACGGTTCGAGCGAAGCGCCTCACCAAATACGGAAGGTCCTGCTCTCCCACCCCACCTTATGAAGAATCCAAAAAATATAGGTAATGTAATAGTCTAAACTATCGCTCATATAACTAATAAAATGTATTATTTTATTCTAATTATGTTGTTATACAATATAATCTTTCATATAACTTATGACATATCTTACATAAAACTTATTAATTTTGTTGTCTTCCAATTTATTGTTTACATATGTATGCTGTGGTGGTTAAGGCACCCACTTCTCGTGCATGAGGGACAATCATTGTTCAAAACCTTGCATGTGTTAATGTGAATTTTTCACACCAGTTTATTTACACACCAACGACTTACAATAAACATCGTGACCAAACCTGGGCTAATAATTTCTAATAAACAGTTTGAGTTCAGTAATCCGCAATCCTTGAGTACTTATTATGCTTAAACCTTCTTCATGTGGAAAGAGGCCTTCGATTGGTAGTGTAAGCGTATGTTAATGTTGGAGTGTTTACATTAAGTTAGCATATCAATACTAACAATAAAGTTCTTAAATTTTCTTAATTATAGGGCCTTCTATACCTGATGATATGCGCAAAGTGCTAGCTGAGAGAGAAGTCATCAAATACGAAAGTTCAGATGAAGATATAGGCATAGGACCTTTACCTGCTGGGTCAGAGGAGAAATGGTCAGATGCGCACCGACGTCTCGAAGAAAGAGCATTAGATATAAAAATAAAGAATTTAGATGGCCATTCTGATACCAGTAAGGTGAAGACCAGAGAGAAATGGATGTTGGAACTGCCTGAAGGCAAAGCGAAAATTATCGGACTAGAAGCGCGGAGCTTCAGGGCTAAGGAGGGCCCAGACATGTCAGACAGGTAAGTTTTATTACTGTCTTAATTTTTTTTTACGAACAATAATTCATAATTACATTCTGTGTATAACATTTCCATACAAATTGCCGACAAACGATTTAGATATTTCTAATGGAACGATAGGTAATGAAGGCTGCCTACCTGTCTACAAATAAAAATCAAGATATCTAAAAATCAATGCCACTTTTAGTTGTAATGTTTTAACTCAACAATGCCTTTACTCATTTGGCTAATTTTGGTCATACAACATACAATTTCACATAGACATCACACCCCGACCCGGAACAACAATTTGTGGATCACACAAAGAGTCGTTTCGTGCGGGAATTGAACCCGCGATACGTTGCGCGGCAGCCAGTTGCCCAGCTACCACGCTAACCGTGCGGTTAAAAAGAATTATTCGTGGAAGTCCAGAAAAGGCTAGTAAGAAGAGAAAATTAAAAAAAAAACTTGCAAACGATTAATATCAACGTCGACGCGGGCAGAGCCGCGGGTAACTGCTATTAATAATAATAAAATTTGAATGGTTGTGTCCACAGATCCAGTTGGACAGACACTCCAGAGGAGAAAGCAAGGAAAGCAGCTGGACTTGTGAAAGAAGAAGACGTGGAAATGTCCTTAAAACAAGAAGCGAGAATGCGCCACATTGCCACCAGGGACGACGAGCAAGAAGCTGCCGTAAAGTAAGTTATTGAAAAGCAAATTCACTTGCTTATCTTTTTTTCTAAAAGGGGACGATGATGGGGATGATCCCATTGCTATTGAAAATTTTGTTCAAAATACAGGGGCAAGTGGTTTTGTCAGGCCTCTCGTGGTATTAACCTGATACTGCCTAAAGAATTCTAAAGACACAGAAGGTGGAACTGAAACTGATGGGGCAAGGTCAGGACCACCCAGTTTTTTTCAAAGGCGCCAAAGCTGTTTTGTGGTCTATTCCCAATTTTTCAGCTACGTGCATTTTTGCCACCTAAATATTCGGATTTAAACGCTTAAATCAAATTCTGCTACTCTCATTGACACTGCACTAGGTCCATAAACATCCCAAATATATGTTTGCAACTTGCATGCGTTTAACGTTTTTTGTAGTAAAATTTTAATGTGTATCGAATTTCTTCATTAGGTTCACTCATCTTAACAGTGCGAAAAATAAATTATAGTCACGAATTTTCCTAATTTGAATTTGACAAATGAAAATCACATATTATTCTAATTTGATTCTGGAATTATCTTCTTTATAAATTAACTTTCATTGTTACCAAAACCAGCCAGGTCCAATAATTGTAACTCGAACGAAACGAAACTGTTTGAGTTTCCCAGACCTATTTTTCTGGTTAAGCAGCATACTGCTACACATTCCTCATGTCTTTAACACATTCAGTGCCCCCGGCGCGTATGTGCGTTTCCTCGCACGCACATACGCGTCGGGGGCACTGAATGTGTTAACCGATTAATCAGGGTATTTTTATAATATGCAATCCATGTAACGGTCATTTATTTTTTTCACAGAAAACATAAAAAGAAACACAAGAGAGAAGAGAGTCTCCTAGACTTACATCAAAAGAAATTGAAAAAGAAGAAAAAGGTAATTTATACTATATTATGAAGTATGTTTATATTTTTAATTTGTATAATGATATGGAAATAGTTCTCGTAAACAACCTACTTAAAATCTTTCTTTAAAATATAAATGCCATTTTAGTTTTTCTTTTCTTTTGATTTTTTAAAAAAAACGTTGCCCCGCACTAGGATTTTCTCCTGTGTCGTGGGTGAGGTTACAAACATACAATTTCACGTGCACATGACACCCATACTGACAGACATTGGGTACTATTTGTCAGTGTTACTTAGAGTCAACAAAGGCCCAAAACAACTTAAGTCTGGTATAGTAGACTTACCAAGTGTCATAAGAATCAAGAAATGATTTCTACTTTTTGATTTTGAAAAAGTGAATAGTTAGTAAAAATAATCAAACTTTTATCACAGAAGGAAGAGAAAGAAGACGGCAAGAAGGAGCGTCGTCCGTTCAGTCGAGACGTGGATCTTCAAGTGAACCGTTTCGACGAAGCACAGAAGAAATCAATCATTAAGAAGGCACAGGACTTGGACTGTAGGTTTTCTAGAGGTGAAGCTAAATATTTATAGAATCATCGGGAGAGAATAGCAGATTCATACCATTTCGGCATGTGGATGTAAGCACTTGTTCTACATAATTTTGTCAGTGATTGGTGCGCAGCGCTGTCTGCTGTTCTATATCTACAAATTTTACGGATTTTGTACAAGGGACTTGTAACGAAAATAGTTAGGTATAACAATATATTTTCATACAAACTTACCAACAAATTGTTACTTTTGAAATAACTTTTAAAGTAGTTTTTGAAGAATACCTAAAACTTACATAATAATATGTGCCCTCTCAGCGGATTGTTTCATTGTTTTAATAAATACGTTCATTGTACAATAAAATCCTGTATTCTTCTTCCACCTGTTTACCATTTAGGTACTTCGAGAAGGATCTTATTTAATACGAATTCCATTATTTAATTTATAAAATACTTAAATATTAAAAACTGCGAATATTATGACTATATCAAATGGGATTTATGCAGCCTATAAGCGCTGCCTTTCGACCTATAATACCTATATACTCTTAAAGTGTATCGTATCTAATTAGAAATTATGAATAATTTGTTTTCTATGTGGTTTATGTAGCAGACGTCCTTTATAAGAGCGGAATGAAATAAATGAATATTATATTAAGCCGAACATTATTTTAGTTGAATTTTACTGAAGTATGAACTTTTTAGTTTTAACTCCGTTTAGGACGTTACTGGGGAACGATGTTTCTTCTGACGTATGTTACAATTGTATACATTGCAAAGTATCTTAGTGAAGCACGGCTACATGGACTTATGAATGTTTTAGCACCAACTGCACATACTTTGGTTTACCCATTGGAACTGTCGCAATTTGGCGACTGCCGTCGTCTTGTTTTATTCATTTAATTTAATAAAAGACAGAGATAGTTAAATCTAAGTATGTGTAAATCACCATGGTGTCAAACAAAGTACCATCAATAATAGATAACTAAATGTTTATGTCACAAACAATATTTATTGACGTTTATATGTATCTCTTTTTGCGCGGCCAATCGAAATGATGATAGAAAGACGCATAGGACTCTTTGTTAGCTCAGTCAATAGAATTTTTATTTTCTTAGTAGTCCTAAGTGGCTTTGCTTAAGTATTAATAATATAAACAATAACTTATTCATTCGCTGAGAATGAAATATCTAGTGCTGGAAGCTATTTTTCGAGTCCTATAAAGTTTTTGTATTCTCTAGTCACTTTGGCCGCGTATCCTGCTTTACTTCGAAACCATTGTTTTACATTTAATTTGATGTTATGCTGCCTATTCGTATAAAAACAAGTCTCCTGGTTCAACTAGAACTATGTACAAAACTACACATACATGGCAGAAACTAGTTGTAAATATACGATTTTACCCCTATTTTGTGTTTTATTGTGATGATAATAGAAGTTGCTGGTAGTCAACAACGATAATTCAAAGTGATAAAACCTGCCTCTCATGTTAAACTAAAAACTTACTCCGGCTTCGTGCGGGTGCAAAGCTGATACTAATTGCGTAATTTTAAAGATACCACACATAGGGATAGAGAATGCGACTTTTTTATAATAAGGTACCTATGTAGTGATGTTTTTTTTTTCGATTTGAAGTTTGAATTCGTCAACCTCTATATTAAATGTAAAATACCGGCTTAATGTAAGATATTAATAAAAAAAACAAAATTAGTTATGAGTATAATCCATTTACTATAATAAATGAAAGTCTAAACTAATAGATAACAATGAACGCGTTACATTACTGTCTTAGCGTCGTGTTTGTCTGTAGAGTTTGCCATCTCCATGGAAGGGCAAGTCTTCACTTTGGATTCTTCACAGCAAAGCGGCTCATCCGCCGTGATGTCTGCGAACGTCCATGGGTTATCGCAGATTTGATAGAAGGCTGACAACTGCAAACAAGTAATGGACCATTATTAAATTAGACTATTCTTCAACAGTTTTCAAAGCTGCTATCCCCTTTTAGTGACTTTCATTCAATATTTACCTTTAATTCCTTTGCATTTTTAAGTCGATTGCACAACACTTCAGGTCCCTTAGCCTTGGTAGCCGTGGCCAAGGCGTTACAAAGGCTCTTACAAGTGCTAGCGCCTTCATCGTCACACTTCACCACCAGGCCAGGGGTCTGTGACAGGATTGGTTGACTTCCTGAATCTATGATGTTTGACGGGAACCCTCCGCAGGAACAGTTACCTTTTGGACCATCATCCGGCAGTAGTGAGCTATGAACAGAAAGGATTTATGAAGATTAATGGTTATGGAATACCATGGATGAACTAGGAATCAAAGAATAATAAATTGCTAATATAGGTATAGCCATAGGTAAATAAGTGTCTACTGATCAATCTGCCGCAGGTAAAAAACTGCATAGTTATTGAATAATTTGTTTGATTAATACAGTACCTGTTAGTTTTCTCTTCAGCCAATATCAGAGAGAATCCGCAGAACAGGATAACGCAGAGGTCACACAATAGCACCCTGGAAGTCATGTTGACTGCGGCGGAGACAACTTCACTGACTGACAGCTTTGAAACCACAACATTTATATAGCCTGGTATTTACAATGTTCGCCGAATTATACATTGTCCACACTTTCTGGTCTTTATTTCAGGACACGTGTATCATACGGAAGAAGCGGAAGAAAGAAATAAAATAGAGATATTTTTAATATTCTGCTGTTTTTATTTAGGTTCAGGACTTAGATTGCTTCCACTTCACAGGAGCAATAAGCAAGCGGAAAGTAGGAAACTTAATTATGGTAATGCCTTTAGAAACTTACCTATCTTCAGCACTCAAGAGGCTAGCTTCCGCGTCTCTTTTGTATTCAATGGATACCTAAACAATGTGTGATTTGGTCGTATCGTAGCTATCTATCAAAATAAAGACTAGTGTACCTAGTCACATAGCATTTAAGATCCTGTCCTCTAATACTAACAGAATTATGGTCTCTTCAATAACATGGCCAGCTATTGTTTTGATATGAGAATATTGGACTTGTTATGATTGTACTCATATACAATAAGTCGTTACTGGGTTGTAGTGATTAATAATTATGCATACAGGTATCATAATTTGACACTATACCATACGAACGGAAACCATTACCTACTGTAGACACAGTTGTCACTTAGCTAGAGGGATAATATTTGTGTAACTTAGTAGGTACCCAACCCAACCACTACAGAATGGTTACCTAAATAATCTCGGACAGAAAGAAAAAGGGTAAGACAGCAGCGGAAATAACATGAATATGCCTAATTGTATAATCTCGAATTTATTTTAGAGAATAAGTAGGTACTAACAATTAACAAGGAAGATAGGACACCAACCTAGTACTACTTTGTAGTAGGTATTGTCCTAAGTAGTCTGATGAACGCGGTATCTTGTAATATCTCCAAATACACTTGTACTAGTGATACGAAGGGGTGGTGCATATTGCGTAAATGTTTATACATAGGTATGTATTACCTTGTAGGCATATTTTCATGTTTTTTTTGTGAGGGGAAAATCATCAAATGACTTCTCCCGCCCCGGGCCGGGCGGGAGGGAGTGTCAGACTCTTACTGACTAAAAACCTCCCTGTTCCTTCTCCTACTCTCGGCCGAGGTCGCGGTGCCTCATTGCGCTTACCCCGCAACCCCGGCAGGTATATTTTTATGTGGATAGTGAAAAACTACTCCTGTAAATACTCTTCGAACTTAGGATGAGCTTCTTGAAATCAAGAGTTCATTCATAGCTATTTTTTGTGGAGCAACTGCCTTCCTTTAGCCTAGGATTTGGTGAAGTGTGTCACTTATTGTCTAAACCTCCCACCCACGTTTCTAGACTATTAATGAATATGATCAATGTACAGGTACCTATATCGTCTTGGTGGCCCAGAGGTTAAGGCGCCCGCTTCACATACCTTTTTTTATCGGGGGAAATCATCAAATGACTTTTCCCGCCCAGGGTAAGGCGAGAGAGACTATCAGACTCTTACCGACTAAACCCCCCCCCCCCTGTCCTGTTTTGGGCCGAGGCAGCGGTGTCACATTGCGATTACACCGCAACCCCTGCTGAACATCAGCCCTGTGGGGCCCGTCTGTGGCGGTCCATTGGCTCTTTGAGGCGCGCGCGGTCGCCGGGGCGAAAATCCTTCGCCGCGCCAACCGCGCCACCGAGGGTGGGCACGCTATTACAGCAGCGGTAAAACCCCTCTTTGAGGATTGGCTTGAGAGACGCCCCTATATTATATTGTAGTCTTTGAGAGACGCCATGGTGTCCTCATCTTCCGCCTGACACAGGTGTTTACCGGACACGGCAGCTTCGGTAGGTTCCAGTTTCGGATTCGGAAGGAGGAAACGCCCAAGTTTCGTCATTGTGAAGACCACCCAGAGGACACAGTGGTGCTTGGGCTGAGTACCGCCGTGTCCTCAGAGAAGTGATTGGCGGCGGCGACATCCCGCGCCCGGCCTTAGTCGAGGCTATGGTGCGAAGCGAGAGGAATCAGGCCGTCTCCTATTTCTATGGAGCAGTTATGCTCGCCAAAAAGGAGGCGGGTGGCATGAGGGAGCTCTCCTCTTCCTCCCAGCCGCCGCAGTGGGCGATTGGCATTCCGGGCGTCGGGGATCAAGAGATGATCTCCGGCCACCGTAAGTACGGGTCTACTTAAAAAGACCGTACCTAAACTGAAGGATGATGCTCATTTAACCCGGGAACTAGGTGATGAGTCGACTCAAGTGCTACCTATCCGTTGTCCACCTGGGTATTAAAATTAATCACCAAGGCACCCCGACCCTGACACATTTGATTTTACAGTAAGGTTAGAAATGACATCATGCCCGAGATAGGGAAGCCAAGGCGAGGTCATGGTATAAACACAAGCTTTTTATACCCGTAAAATGCCAAAGGATAAATAACTAAAAGAACATCTCCTCTGTTCCCAATCCCATTATAAAGAAATGAAAATACATGGTACAGCAATTTGAATAAAATTCAGTTTTGTTTGAAAAATATTTATTATTAAAATCTAGAGCAATTAATTTTACAAATATTGTAAAGTACATAGCATGAAAAAGGCCACCGTTTGCACTGTTTCTCAACACTATTGTGACAATTTCTAAGATATCTAGAGAATGGGGCCAAAATATTATTTTTTAATTTTTAAAGAAATAATGTTCTGAGGTTTGGTGTGGTCAATTAATCATGTATTATAAGTACCAGGCCACCTTGCTGATCTCGTAGATTTGATTGAGTTGGGTTTTCTAGTTAATTAACATCTAACTTAAATAAATATTTAGTTCAAAATACATTTTTCTCTTAAAATTATATAACTAATTAATACATTGTCAAGAAGTAGTCAGTACCCTTTACAAATACAGTCAAGATTGTAGGAACATATTTCTAATGTTAATTTAAAATGAAAATACATCTATTTACAGTTAGTTTTTTTTTGTTAGTGAAAATATTAGTTTTATTTTATTTCACATTATTTATTTGTATATCTATTTGAGTTTACAGAAAGTTGTCAGGATTTATGGGAAACTGCTGACATAGTTATGTATTTTTATGCAGCAGAAGTTTGAAAATGAAATCTATAACATCATCACAATTATTGCAGTTCTATTAATTCATTTTTACATTTCACACAAACAAGAATACCTGAATTTTAATCAACATCAAAAGTTATTTTAAATATAGAACCTACTGAGATTTAAAAAAGAAATACAAACATAGTTCTAGGCTTTCTAAACACTACCATTAACATGCCTCTAACATACCATCCACATTTATCTTGTCTCTGGCCACCATTATATAAAACCTATTCTTTCTGACTGATCACAGTAATCATAGACCACTTGAATGTCAGTAAGTATTATCTTTGGGGTGCGGGCTTTGGTTTGGGCATCTTAACTAACAAGGCTTGTATTTCCTTCTTCTCATCATAGCTCTTCCACATCTCATATAAATTGATGATAGATCTCACTATCTCCTGGATCTGAAATGTACAGTAAAGATTTATTCAATTTTTTTGTTAGAATTGCTTGATTGGCACAATAATCAATGCAATTTCTTATTGGAATTTTTGAGTAAATCACTAAAATAATTGTTTCAGGGCTATATGCAGGTGAACTAACAGTTTCTATGGGATAGGTTGGCAAACAAGCAGCATGATCCTATGCACACTCGTAACAACTTACCAGTTGCAAGTGATTGAATGGAGTGGTACTTAATTTCAGTAGTTATTGCAATTTGCAATATGTAAGCACTGTGTTAATATGTAAACACTTACCTTGTCCATGTCAACATTGAGTTCAGCAAACCATGGCTTGTGGTTTTCTTTGTTCAGCATCACACATGCAATATGCAGTGCAGCTATTGCTATCTGTAACACAAACATTGCTGTATTAAATAAAGATTCAGCACTAAAAGTATCCACAAAGAAATTACTAATGACAAGAAGACTTATTACCTGATAGGGTGGGTACAACAAGCTGACATCAGTTCTCAGTGAATCATTAACAATTCTCCAAGCATAAGTCAACAGCTGATCGTCCTGTCCAATATCTTGTACAAACAACAGTAGAGGTCTGTATGGCTGATATACAATCAAACAGCAGTCTAAATTTTCCAATAAATAGAACTCACACTCCAAGATATGATTAGTTCTGTACGGAAATTCCTGCTGGCCGTACGCATAACTAAATTTGTTTTTAATTACTGTTTGGCAAGTAGTTATTAGTCGTGAGTTTGAGATAACACCAAATTCTTCCACTTTAGATGCAAGGAACACGCACGTTGGTGCAAGTAACAACGGATCAATACATTTTAAAGAATTTCTTGCATAAAATCTCTTAAAGTACACTGTAGCTGTGGCTATAACTTGTTGACGAAGTTTTAACTGTTCACCCAAAACCTGAATTATGCTTGCAAAGAAGTTGAATATTTTCTGGTACTCTTCTTCAGACAGTATTCCCAAATCATGTTGACGATCTCGTATAAGATCCTGTTTATCTAGTATCCATTGTTGATGGTGAGAACTCTGCCAGAAATTACCAGCCATCGTAAATTGTAATATTTAAATAGAAAAATTATTTAAACTCGCGTTCATTGACACTTCCTTCTGTCACAAATATTTATAAATGTCACAGCACAGCATAGACTACTCAAGGTCAAATCATAGACAATGACGCTTGTAACTTTCTCATGTTAGATACCCTGTCTTTTTATTTATTGACAAACAAAAACCTCAAACGGAATTGCTATGGATGGAGGAATTATTTTTTCTGTAGTGTAAGGAAATTTTATTTGGAATCGCTCTTATAACACATAAGCAATTAACTGTATGAGAGCCAAGCTTCGGCTCAAGTGGAGTGATACCACGTCTGCGCGCAAACTGCAGACGCGCGCAAGCGCCTTTGCTTCCAGATCCCATTACGGTAATCCGGCAAAGAAGTTAGCCACCTCCCCGGAGATCGTGCAATAGCCGCTGATTATACAGATAGTCATAACTCTCTGCGACGCGACCAGCGTACGAGCTGGTCGCCGCCTCAACTCCGGCGCCCAAACAGGGCCCCCGTAGAAGGCCATGGATCGCACGATCCTCACATACAACCGGCAGAAGGGATGGACCTGTTTGAGCGCGGCCCCAGTCCCTTCTATCTTAGGAGCCAAACGTCGGAAATACTCCGTGAAGTTCCCGGCTGTCGAAGATGAGATCCAGGTACTTCATCGCCGATAGCTCCTCCGGCCGTCATTTGGGACCCCTCCGGAGGCACGTTCCGACGGCCATAAAAACAAATGGCCTCGGACTTGTTTAGCGCAAACTCGAGTCCCAACTGCATGATCCTAGCAACGAATGTCGTAACCGTGCATAAGTGAAGCTGCGTTTGCAATGATAGTTACACAGGTTATTATGATGATACAAAATAATAGTTGTTGTTTTATCAATTGTATTAATTGCATCAAGTTAACAACGTGATTTATTTGGAATGAAACTGCAAAAAAGGGGTTATTGTTTATCCTCATAAAATACAACTTGCGGTTACCTACATTATTTATTTTCTTGCTTATCTTTTATATGTTAATAATATAATGCCTCAAGCACATCAATCACACAGTTGTGATTTGGATAAAAACAACAGAATAAGGAAATTAGACAAATGAATGACTTTTAAATAGGTATTTATTTTGACAACTATTATCAAGTAAAGTAGTGAGTATTATAATTAAGTATATCCTTTGGTCCTTTAGTGTTGTACTGTTTATCCCATGATGTCGGCGATGGTGTAGTCCTTGAGAACCTCGTTGATGATATCAAAAAGTTCCTCACTGAGCATTTGACTAACATTCTCCATCTCCGATTGGATAAGGTCTTGAGTTATGTTCTGGATCATGCCGTTGATGAAACTATTGATGACATTGGAGCCAGTCATGCCGCTGATTTGAATCTACGAAAAGCAAATTAATTTTAGATAGGTACGTATTCTATCAGAGTGTACCTAATGTAGGTATGATTCGCAATAGGTACATTTCTTTTTTACATGTGTACAAAATGCCAAATTTTATAATGCTTTCAGATTAGGTAATTAAACAGATGTAATTTCTGTGCATTGTTTAAGTAAGATGTTGCAATATCGAAACAAAATGGTTTGTAAGCATGTACCTAACATTAAGAAAGAGTTTTCAACTTACATGAGTGTCATGAATATCAATTTTGATGTTCAATTCACGTAGAATCAAATGTCCACCAAACAGGTTGGTGCCCACTCTCATGTCCAAACCGACCTCGATACGGTGAGCAAATACTCTGCAAATTACAACACACAAATTTAATTAATTCCTCCTTTTGAAAATCATTCAGTAAGTAGGTAGATATTTATATCTATAGGTAATAGTAGATTTTATTATAAATATAAACTTAATATTTCATTTACAACATAAGCTGTCATGTCCTCTGCTGCATTATAGTAACGCGCTCTACCTAACTTATAATACTTTTAAAGCTTTTATGTGACTTGAGATCAGGCTGAAGTAGAGGAGGAAGTACCAAGTTTGGGTAGGTATTGCAATGTATCTACATACTTACTTAAGATTTGTCTACTTAAGATTATCGATAACATACCTGAAGTTGCCGCCAGCTCTGTGAGACAGGAGACCGAGTCTCGCTCGGGCATCGTACGTACCTGATAAGATACAAACATTTTATTGTTATTATAAGAACACCTACATTGTTAAGGATTATAATGTTTAATCTAATTAATTAATGAGCTTAGTCGTGTAGATTTTATCGATTAAATTTTTTGTTTTCTTCTGTGCGGAATCTATTACGTCAAGGGGATACACGTGTTTACTTAGCAAGCCTCAACATCTATCGCCAATATCAGATAACTACAATTTACCAATCTTTTGTTGAATATTTACGTAATATAACGCCTTCTTGAGTGAGGGTACTTATTAGTGCTCATTACCAATGTTACTTAGTAGGTAACTAGACTATCAACTTATTTCCATACTCTGCCGTTTAGGAAAAACGAATGTCGCATCAAACCTCTTTATCGATGGTTGCCATTTCCACTCCTCGATTAGGTACAATGGATGATACTATATTGCCTGCTCTGTTACAAAAATGCTTATTTATTTACCAGTTACAGTAATCCAAGGGATAGTGATGTGCGCGCCGAAAGCCAGTCGGATCGGGTTGAAGGTAATAGTGTCCAGAACGTACCAACGAAGACCTTCCATGCGGAAGTTGTTGACGGTCACCTGGGCGGTAGTACTGCAATACAAAGAAACATTGTTGTGATAGTGGTGAGAACTGTTTGGGTCTATGTTGGGAACAAAGAATAATATAAGGTAAGAGAGTTTCTCGTCCAGATACTAGATACATTTATAGTCTTAACTTTCACATTCAGGTCGAAAACAGCAATTTAATAATAACATAAAGAATTTAAAATAAAATCTGTGTGCATCGAACACGTTCTCTGGCCACAACTGTTAGATATTGTATATTTTTATGTACTTAATTAAGGTACCACGTAATAGGTCTATAATGTATGTATGAATATTTGCCATAAAAATTCCGTTGACGCAAAAAAACAGTTTAAAAGGCAAATATGAACTTACGCGGGAGCTTTATAATCGAAGGGTCCAATGACGAGTATTTCAAGAGGGTCGAGCGGAGGCACGTCATCGTTTCCGTTAATGACCACATCTCTGAAGTCTTCTATCAATTGCGCGATAGCATCAGTCACGAGACGGGGTTGTCTGTCAGCAGACTCAAGCACAGGTACATCTTCGCTCACATTCTCGGCATTTGATAAGAAGTGCAGTTGCAAGTGAGTGTTTTCCAGATGATTTTCCACGTGGTTTACTATAGAAAATGTAATTCTGATTAGATGATTTAATTAAACGTAGCTATATTTTATTTTCTTTGTTTCTATGTGAAACATGAAAGTAATAATATCTATGAATGTGAACGACAGAGGTGCCTACATTGGTTGTTAAAATCGTGAACCAGATTGCTTTAATATGACGATGACGATGCTATGCTACGTACTGTCTTCTTTGTAATGGTGACTGGTTGGTAGGTAATGCAAGTAAGACCAGATTTTTAAGACATTATTTATTTATTATTTACTGTCACATAGGTATTATTAACTACTATTAGGAATAGGTATTATCACATAGGTATTATTACTATTATTACCGGTAGGTATTATTTACTGTCACATTTTAAGTTTTACGACGAAAAATGTCCAAAATACCTCAACTTTTTAACACAATCCGATTCGATCGAGAAGCCAGCGCTACGCTAAACAAACAAGTCTTTACGTTTTTTTGAAATGACTTTTTTTTTTATTTAATAGGTCGGCAAACGAGCAGACCGATTACCTGATGGTAAGCAATCAGCGCCGCCCATGGACATTCACAACGAAGGAGTTACGAGTGCGTTTCCGACCTTTTAGGGATTAGGGATTTGGAGATTTAGGGATTTAGGAGGGATTGGGGGAGGGGAAGGATTGGGCCTCCGGTAACCTCACTCACACGGCGAAACACAACGCTGTGGTTATTTCACGCCGGTTTTCTGTGAGGCCGTGGTATCACTCCGGTCGAGCCGACCCATTCGTGCCGAAGCATGGCTCTCCCACACAATGATCTTAAAATGTATTACGTAATAAACTTTTGAACTAACCTGCAGAAAGGAGATCGTTTTCGACCTCAGCGCCGTGTGCAAATGCGCACACTAACAGGGACACCAGGCACAAAAATTTCATTTTTCTGAAATAATATTGAAAATATTAATATTTATTTTAAATAACAATAAATAAAACTATGTAATCTTTTATAAAGTGATATTACCTTTCCTTTCTACAGTTTGACCATTCGTGTAATTCGCACTTGTATTTAAACATACACGACTATCTTAATCCATCATAATTAACATCGCCTAATCTTTTTATATGTAGATTAAACTATTTGTGTTAATCAACTGTGATTTGTTCGCAGCTGTTTCATATCTCTTTAAAAGATATGAGATTGAGGACGCAATACCTGAAATATGAAGGCAGGGATTTGAATGTGTATTAAGTAGGTAATTTTATTACGTTTTGTAAATAAATAGTTGACAATTCACCGTCGTTGGTTATTTCTGAATTATTTAATTATAATTGGCTGATAGAAATAAATTTTTAATTCTACAGACGTTCCAACTAATCGTAGGTATGTGCCTAACCAAATAAAGTTAGCAAAACAAATAAAAGTAAGTTTGTTATTTGATACAAAAAACCTGCCCCTAGCCGATTTGGGTGAAATTCGATATTGAATGAAATCAAATCAAATTCCTTATTTCAAGTAGACCACAACAGGCACTTTTGAACGTCAAGCAAAAAAGATATCATAAGGTTTAACTTTATATGTGTCAGTCTGTCCGTCTGTCCTCTAGCGAAGCTATTTGCTCGTTCCAAAGTGCAGATTCCTATGGAGAAAAACGAGCAAGAAACTCCATGGTTACTCTTTTTTAATCACTTTTTACAATGCATTGTTACATAATTTAGATAGTTCCCTTATGTGAGAACAGTGTAACACTCTAGTGTTTAACCAAAGGATCCGAAAAAGTACAGTCTCGAGTTGACCAGTCCCAATAGGCGGCGTCCGTTCACGAACATGACACGTACACCAGCACCGCCCCACTCAACCATATTATAGGGAACCGAGCGGTCCAGTGCCCGTGCCACCGCCAATGAGACTCCTGAGTGAGCATGACAACTCCCAACTGACACAAGTACCAATATACTATAAGTCTAACTCAATTATAATAAGTTACAGGGCTCTCATATTTACAAAAATCCAGTTTATCAACAATTAACAACATGGTGAATAATTTAATAATTGAGATCAAAATTTCTCTTAACATTAACAATTTTTATCCTGTGCAGTCGAATCAGCCAAGCATTTTTATCTTCTATATAATCATTTAGTTTGTAGTATGCTTTCCTACATAATACTTTCTTTATACATAATTTAAATTTACTTTCATTACGATTTTGTATTTCAGTTGGGATTTTATTATAACATTTAACACATAATCCCATGAACGACTTATGCACTTTTGCTAATCTAAATAAAGGCTGACTTAATCTATTTCTATGTCTAGTAAGATAGTCATGTTTAACATACATAATGTTTTCATAAATATATTGACATGGTACGGTCATAATGTTGATCTCCTTAAACTTTTCTCTGAGAGATTCGCGACGACCTAAGTTATAGATAGCTCTGACAGCACGCTTTTGTAAGATAATGATAGACTCGATGTCGAATGCCTGTCCCCACAACAGAATTCCATACGACATGATGCTGTGAAAGTAGCTAAAGTACACTAGTCGTGCCGTGCCTACGTCGGTTAGCTGACGGATCTTCCAGACATCATAAGCTGCCAAGCTCAACCGCCCTGCTAGAGATCTAATGTGGAGCCCCCATTGCAGCTTGTCGTCTACAGTAATCCCCAGGAATGTGGTCTCCTTTACAAATTCTAGTTTCTGACAATTTAATAATATATCATCGCATACGTTACTTTTAACATTTGGCAAAATAAATCAAATGCATTTCGTCTGTTTATCATTAAGTACTAAGTTGTTTTTTGTGAACCAGTTATGAACTTTCATTAAGGCATTATTCACTTCGTCATAATTATTTGAACGTCTATTTAATTTAAAAATCAATGATGTGTCATCACCGAATAATACCATACCCGGTTCACTTTGGAATAAATGGGGCAGATCATTCACATAAACCAAAAATAGGAATGGACCCAATATTGAGCCCTGCGATACGCCCATAGATACGCTAGCACCCTGTGAGTTTACTCTGTTTACTTGCACTGTAAGTAGTCTTTCTAGAAGGTATGACTTTAATAAATTTAGGTATACCCCCTGAATGCCGTAGTGTTGCAGCTTCAGTAATAGTGTCTCGTGCGAAAAACATAAGAAAGTAGATATACCTAAAAGACATTTGGCATTTCATAAAAGATGTAATTGCCATTTTATACAGTCATCTTGGGAAAAGCAATGCCTAATTTCAAGCTGGCAAAGTGGAAAATATGTATGTAGTATCGACATAATGAAAAATTCAGCTGGAAATTAAATTAGCTATATATCTACCTACTTACTTGTAAGCGTTTGGCTGTACACGATAAACAGTGGAAATAATTAGGTAAATTAAGCGGTCACGCAGTGCTAGACTAGCGACAAATTTAGGTACCTACTTAAATATGGTACTAAGTACAAATATAATCATCAAGAATAACTTTATGAATTTAACCCTTAGATAATTATTGCCAAATTAATATTTTTTTCTTTTATGTGACAGGTTGGCTAACAAGCGTCCAATCGATCTGTGGATTACCTGATGGTAAGCAATCGGCGCCGCTCATGGACACTCGTAATGTGAATGAAGTTACTAGAAGTGCGTAGCCGGGGATTTGAGGATTGAGGATGGGGGATTGGGCCTCCAGTAAGAAAGTCAAAGTCAAAAGTCAATAATAATTTATTTCAATTAGACCCTTAATAGCACTTTTGAACGTCAATGAAACAAAATTTCAAAGATTTTAGTTAGTTAGCCTCACTCACATTGCAAAACGCAACGTACCTAATTGTTGCTTTACGCCGGTTTTCTCTGAGGCCGTAGTACCACTCGGGTCGAGGCGGTCCACTCGTGTCGAAGCATGGCTCTCCCACATATGGTAGACAGAGGTGAATCAAACTTTTTCTTTGAGGGTGAGCAAATTATACTAAATTGATATATTATGATATTCTTATTGATTAAAACGTACCTAAGAAGTACAAATCAGCTATGTAATAAACAATAAAACAAAATATCAGAAATATTTTCTTTCAGCTCCTAAAAACTAAAAAGAGAAAAATATCCGATTCGTCCCATTTTCGGCGTGAATCGGATCTTACGCAATATATTATAACAAAATTATAAGTTTCTTAACATTATAGCTTTGGAATTAGAAAACAATTAGGTATAATGAGATCAATTTTCAACATTGGTACATAATTCACATATCGTTTTTTCCCCTCCACCCCCTCACCACCAGCACATTTCGTGACAACATTCTTTACAGGCATTGCACTACCGTTAGTAATATAATATTTTACGATGAGTTGTAGGTTTTTTTCATGTGGCGGAAACATACTTCTTATGCCATTGGCCGAATGAAAATTAGTCTTGACGTAAATCGATTCCTTTGTGTATATGAGAGAGGGTAAATTATTAAATGACTTCTTCCGATCCCTATAATAGGACGAGAGGGAGTGTCAGAATCATCCTGACCAAAAACCAGTTTAGGATTTTTTTCCAATGTCGTGGCCGCATTTACAAACATACAAATGCGCTCTGTACTACGGTACGCGCCGTACTTCCTCGTCTAGTTTTAGTCTAGCGGCAAGTTACCCTTGTTCCGCACCCTTACCGAGCATCTCCTGCGGCGTCTGGAACGTGAGAAGATTAATCTGGAACACCCGTTACGCATCCCTCTTCGGCAACAGGACTGCTTCACGAAGGAGGAGATGTGGTCCCACTTTCGCTTTGAACGATGGTCTTAACCATAGCCGGGCCCGAGAGGTCACTGCCGCCTATTGCTTCCTTAGGAGCATGGCGGTGTTAAGCCCGGCACACTGCCACCGTGGTTTCCGGGCAGTCCTCGCGTTACGACACCTGGGCATTTCTTCGTTATCCGGGTTCTTCTGCTCCGAGCCAGGAATCGATACATCATTGTACTTGAACCCGCAACATGGTCTGGAGATTGGCTCTAGAGAGCCCCATTTGCAGTGGCCTTATGACTCTTTGGTGTGCAAGTTAAGGTAAAATGTACCTATTTTTTAATTATTTTATGTTTTAACTACAGCTTATTAATTTCAAACTGTGTTGTTTCAAGTCCCGCCAGGTACATATAGTGATTGCCAACAATCAAGGCAGTAACATTGTTTTTTACAAGTAATAGACACGTAGAATATAGGATCGCTGGATGCTCTATAATAGTATGGTTGAGGTTGGCGGTGCTGGTGTCATAATCGTAAATGAGCGCCGTCAATTGGGACTGGTCAACTCGAGACTATCTGAATATATGTCCGATGCTTTCTTTGACTGAAAATAAGTTTTACACTGTTCTTACATACTGGAACCGACTAAATGATGTAACAAAAATGTATTGTGAAATTGATTGAAAAAGAGTAGGTAACCATGGAGTTTCTTGTTCGTTCTTCTCTATTGGAATCTACTAGACTAGAGGGCAGACCGACAAAATGACACGCTAAGTTTCACTTTTTGATATTTATTTTGTTTGACGTTTTAAAGTACCTACCTCTAGTGGTCTAATTAAAATAAATGATTTGACTTAAATTTTGAAAAAATACAAATGGGTTAATCCCATGTTTGATAAAGAGACTTTACTAATAAAACCTTATACCTGATAGATACTAGTTTAGTAGTAAAAACACATTCTGATAACTGCATCTGACTAACCTATAGATAGTAGATACACCATCATATAACTAACTATCAATTTTCCCGCTAAAATATAATGTTACTTTTTTACGTTTTAGTCGTATTATAAGAAACGCAGTGGCTGTTGAAATTTTATTGCGTGTAATGTAATATGTAGGTGGAAAATCAATTATTCGTAACGAATTTGCACAAGCATAAGAGGTTTTAATACGAAAATGGGAATGATTTTGGAAGATAATTATCAACTGTTATAAATCCGATACATGTAAATTGTAAAGCAGTCGAGGTCCGACTCCGGAGTAAAGATGCGTTTAGTTGTATTTTTAGTGACACTGTGCTACTCAATGCCCCGTATATTGGCACAAATTAATGTTTGTAAGTACCGTGAGTTTATATTAGTATTAGATAATCACCAGCGACGTGTGAATCAAACTAAAAAAGATGGATAAGATAATGATGTGTTATTTTTAGTTTTTTACATATTTATAAAGCAATTAAAGAGAACTATTCCAACAAGGATCTGAATGTTATAATATTAGGTTGGGGCAAAAGTATTTTCGCATTAGAGTATGCATCATCTTATAATAAAATCTCTTTGTACCTGGCTGGTTTTGGTATCGTTGAAAGTTTACATTTGAAAGAACTTAATTACATTTTAAAATTTGGTAAATGTGAGATTTTAATTTTTTTCGTATTGTCAAGATGAGAGAATCTACAAAATAAATCTGATAGGTACTTACTTACATTAAAAATAAAATACCCCAAAAAAGGCTTAAAAAATATTCCGCGATAAAACTTTGCGATGTTTATTGACCTGGGGCAGTGTATGTGAGAGTACCTAGTTCCAATTTGTTTTCAATCCAGGAATTTCGATAGCCGCGAAACGCTTCGAGAAAAGTATGGTACAGTCGTGCCCGTTTTACCTACTCGAGATTTGGCTAGGGCATGGCAGTGCCCCCATATGTCAAAAATGCACGTGGTCTGGTCGCCTTACAGAGACAATGGATGCCATTTTTGAAAAAGTGGTGCAAGATCGGTACATCCTTAGTTTCGACGTATCTGAAGGACTTTGACCACGAGACGATAAAGGATTTAATATTTATTGCTGATTCCAGCACTTCTTTTTTAACAACTTGTCTTTGCTTGGTTTTCACATAATAGTTACAATGATGTATTAGGTACTTAATGAAATTGATTTTTTTTTAAAGAGATGCAATGAAGTTTCTTTCTCGTTCTTCTTCCTTTGAATCTACAATTTGGAACGAGCACCAAGCTTCACTGACGAACAGACTGACAGACTAAGTACTATTATATTATGACGTTTCAAAAATGTCTACCTACCTGATTTATTTATCGTTTAGTTGAAATAAATGAGTTCAACTTTAGCTTTTGTCTTTTGACCTCACGAGTACGAGACCTAAGAAGGGGTAAAATTTCTATAGAATGGAATTATTTCCATACCAACAAGATGGCAAGAAGATATAGAAAAATATGCTACCTACATACATAAATAAATTACCTACTTATAAAATAAAATTGAGATTTCTTTTAGATTACCTGATGGTAAGCAATCAGCGCCGCCCATGGACAGCCGCAACAACAGAGGAGTTATGAGTGCGTTGCCGGCCTTTAGGGGATTTGGGATATTTAGGGATTGGGCCTCCGGTAACCTCACTCACACGGCGAAATACAACAATACAACTATCACTCCGGTCGAGCCGACCCATTCTTGCCGAAGCATGGCTCTTCCACACTTACCTAGGTATAATTAATATAATTCTCGAAATCTCAGGAAAGTAAGTGGTCGTGTATTAGATATGCGATGGTATTAATTAATTCTATTTCCTCCGATTATTTACAGATAGATATATTGAATTATAAATAGCGTCGAACCAAATTATGATTGTTACTGATTAAAGAATTTTATTATCAAAATTACCTAGTATTAATAAATTGATTGTGATGTAAATCAGCGATTACAAGTGCAATCATATATCGTGCAATAATATACCCAGTGCGAGTGCAAACTAAAAAGTCTGAGGAGGCTCTATTCCTTTCTAAGAAAGTAAATATCAATTTAGGTCATCGACCAATAGGGGCATTCATCATCAGCCTATATGTACCCACTGTTGAGCAAAGGCCTCTTGTCATACGGAGAAGGCATTGATCACCACGCTTGCTCAATGCGGGTAGCGATTTCAAACTTATAATTAGAAATTATAAGTCCATGTTTCCTCGCTATGTTTACCTTCGTCGTATGTCAGTGGTGTCTAAATAATCATAGAAAGTAGATAGGTACATACCTACACATAACTCGGAAAAAGTCACATTGGTACTTGCCAGGTTTCGAACCCACACCTTCATGTATGAGAAGCGGGCTGCTTAACCTCCGGGCCACCACGACATTATATACTTGTAGGGATGGATTAGAAAATGATTAAAGTAAAAAGAAAATTAAGAAGTTGTGATAGGTATGTATAATCTGCGATTTACCTAGTGTAAAGTACTTACAAGTTAGAAGCTGTGATATATATCATATATCTCTGTTATATGTTGTATAGGTAGGTACTATTAGGCAAATAACATGAGTTTAAATATTAGGTTGTGTAAAGTAAAACTGAAAATAACTTTCAAGAATGACACAATTATACACAATTTATCTTTATGTCAGTTAGTTCAGTAAAATTCAATAAGAGGCGCCCGCGATCTGACCTTGTTAGGTTCTAAGACAGTGATCTGCCATGAAGAGCAGAGCAGAGTCTTCTGAATGTATTGTGATCAAATTATAATTCCTGAACAGCTTAATAAGTACACGAATGAGGATTATATCAAACCTACTTGGCTGACCCATTCTCAAATATACATGAATGTTAGTTTATTATTAACACAGGAAACTTCCAACTTCTCGTCAGTCAATCCAATACCTGCTTTCGAATATAGGTATCTACTTAATACTTGAATTGTCACATTGTAGATAAATCTTTTAATGATAACGACACACCTGTGCATTCATCATTATTGTTTATTGTTTAATTAAATACCTCCTCACACATTATTGTGTAGTGCTATGCAAATAGTCAAAAGAGAACCCATCAGCAGAATGTTGACTCGGGCATAAATCTATATCTTGCACTAGCTAAACTGCTAATGTTTCAGTGTGAAAGAGCCATACTTGGGCATGTAGGGGCCGCCTCGATTGGATTGATGTATTGATCCCACGACCTCACAGGAGACCGGCTTAAAACTGGGTTTCGCAGAGTGAATGAGGCTATCAGAGGCCCAACCCTCAAATCCCTAATAAACCTAAAAAAATCCAGGTACTCGCTTATTTGTGGCTCTCTCCCGACCAGAGTAGGGCGCGAGGGAGTGTCAGACGCATACTGACTAAACCCCGCTGTCCCTTCTCCAGCTCTAGGCCGAGGCCGCGGTGACATATTGTAACAACACACACTTGTAAAATTCATTTGATGTCTGCTTGCCGACCACCACATGCCAACATACCACATGATTGTGTAACAATTTTATATATTGCTTTGTGTCTTTTTTGCAGACAATTTTCACCTACGTGATATTCACTATACGGGGGAGATTGGTCACAAGCCGCTGAAGTATAAGCCTCTATCGACAAAAGATCAAATAGCAAGTGAAAAGGCAGCTGATGTGGTAGACTTCATACAGCTTGTACCAAAAATTGATCCATTGAAACGAGCCATTCTACCTCCAGTGGGCATTGACATCCCGCTTTTCTTTTTGAAGTACCTATGTTTCAAGTATTTTTTTAAGAATTCGTTCCTCTTCTATTTTAAATCTTTACATTTGTAATAAAATGAGCACGTTTATCAGATGTGGGATTGGTTAGTCGGATTCGATGTGGTATCTATAATTTTAAAACCTTATTTAAGTGGACTGCTAGCTTGATAATAATTTAACGTGTGATTACAAGGTTTCTATTCGGATCTATATCTGACAAAGTTACCTATATAAATTCTGACTATTTTGTTACATCCCAAAAGATAGACGCTTTGATTTTTTTTAACCAATAGTAATGGCAAGCTTTTTTGATTAACAAAATTCTGACTGACTACATTTTGTTATTGTCAGACAGTGAAGACGCGTTGATAAAAATATGTTTGAATTTTGAATAACAAAAGTCCGAATGATTTTGTTGACTACTTATAATTTTATCGGTCGTTACCTAAGTAATCAGATTGCATGTAGATATTGACAGTAGCATTTGGGAAAAAAACACGGAATATGGGTAAGGAGGACAAAAAGCCAAAAGTAAATATAAACATACAATTTCAGATTAACCGCAGAGCACCTTATTGGGTAATATATTGCTGATATATTAGAGTACTAAATTGTCTGTACTTAATATAATTCATTGCAGAGGTAAAGTTTATATGAAGAGGGTCATAATGAGCGGATTGAAGCAACTAGAGTTGCGCCACTTAGAGATGCGTATGATCAATCTCCGGACGGATGTAAACATTAATTTTCCCTTAATTTCCATAGCAGGTAAAGACTTCAGTGTTAGCCTAACTAATTTTTTTTATAGTACCTGCAGAAAGAAAAACATTTTGCATCTAATTGACACACTAAGTTAAAAAAAAAAACATTTTCTACTACACCAGCTGGCCACTACGAATGCAAAAACCTCAGATGCCATAAAGTTTTCTTTTTAAATTGTCGTCTTCATTTTATTTTAGGGCAGTTTTTTTTACAACTTGTTAATTTATCTTCTTATACACACTTTTTGCTTATCGTAAACAAAATATTGAGCAAAAATTAAGACGCTATCAAAAATAATTGTTGCTTTGTATTCCTTTTGGTTTTCTTCGTTTTGGAGTGGTTTTAGTGTAAAACAATCTTTGTACCTAACACGAGAATTACAACTTAGCCCTAAAAATATTATAAATAGCGGCACTATGAAATAGATTTAGTTAAGACGCAGGTTCTTTTCATAGGCCAATAAATCTTGTGTCAATAAAAACAAAAGTGAAAAGAAAATTTGTATTAAAATTATCACGTTAAAAATACTATCTCTAAGTATCTAATAATAATTATTCCAGATGGGCGCACTATAACAACCATGGTTTTTTATGTATTTCAGGCGACTTCTACCTGCAGGCCTATATATCTTTTGTACCTTTATTTCTCAAATGTCATTTAAGGTTAGTAGATCATTGTTAATACTGACTTTTAAACTTTCGCGTTTCATACCTATTTGCAACACATAACTTTCGCGGGTATTTACGCGAAAAATCCTTATTGAAATACCTTGGTACGCTTGACGTCTTGACCTGGTTGCACAGGTCGTGGTCGCTAGCAGACTCATGCCAACCAAGGTATTAAAATAATTCTTTTTCGTGTTAATACCCACGTGTTATATGTTGTAAATTTTAATACCTACTGTCTCATGTGTGTAGGATTAGATTAGATATAGATTACTTTATGATGTCATATTTATTGTCTTGTAGGTTAAATTCAAAAGTTAAACGTGTCGTGGTTTTTATCATTGCGTAATGTAACGCCTTTTCTCTCAAGGGGTGCACATACAGGCTGTTTGGCGAATCCATCATTTTCGTATGTTCAATGTTCTGACAAACACACTGTATAATAGTTATTGTGGTTCTACACATAATAGGCAAGTGCTTATGAGAAATTATAGAGAAACCGAACAAGCCCCAAAAACAATTGGGACTCGAAAAGACCGACAGTTTTTAGTTGTTATTGTAGAATTAAGGTAACTGGAGCAATTCTGCCTCCGTATCCCCAAATCTTCAACTCACGAGTTAAGGGTGTTACACGTCTCTATGGATGACGCCGATTGCTTACCGTCAGATAATCTGCCTGCTCGTTTTTTGCTATAGCCTATTAAAACTTATTCTTAAGCCTGCAGGCTTCTATTACTATAATAGAACCAAAAAATTGTTTTATCCGATATTATTAATCACACCAGTCATTTCAATGTAGACATATAATTGATAGACAGATTAGTAATTTATTGCGACTCGGACTATAGTGACGTTCTGATTGAATGGACACAAAATAAAATAAACTCACTTGTTACAATACGTCACAATTCAAATAATAACTTGATTGCTTATCTCGGGAAATAATGATCTCACGACATGCCCTGCAAAACTGATTTCCACCATTCCTATCCCGTCCATGTTGTGAGACTGTGCCTAATATTTTTTTGTATGTCATGTCGGTAAACGAGCTGACGGATTACCTGATGGTAAGCAATCGGCTCCACCCGTGGTTATTCGCAGTACCAAAGGAGTTACTACAAGTTCGTTGCCGGCCTCTTATTTTTTGTTAGGGTATTTACGGATGGTTAACTTGAGTATTTAGGTGGGGGAGGCAGAACTCACACGGCGAAACAACGTAAGTGTTTTACTTAATGCCGGTTTTCTGTGAGGCCGTAGCCAGAGACCATCCGGTCGAGCCGGCCCATTCGTGCCGAAGCATGGCTCTCCAATGCCTGTGCATTCAAATGTGTAATGTTTTGCGTACTTATATGTATAAATAAGGTCCATTATAGTACAAAGAATCGTTTAGCAATAGGAGAAGTATTATTTAATATTAATGTTATTTTTCTGAATATACATATATTTATTTTAATACCCTACAATTACATTTTTAAATATTACTAAAAAAAACAATAAAATAATATTTAAAAATATAAAAATAGGAGCCAGCCGGTAGCGGGAGCAAGGTCCAAGCTACCCAACCGCCGGGTTAGGGCTCTAGAGACAGAAATCTCCTCACAATACGTGGCGTTTCAAGGAGGACTGCCTTCTGTATGAGGCCCTTGATCCATCCGCCTAACGTCAGCCTCTTAAGGTGGTTGTCGAGGCTTTTGGGGACTAACCCATTTGCCGACACAGTTGTGTCGGCAAATCGGCACAATGATAACCGAGTCCACACTCCACATGTCAACAACCTCGTGAGCTAAGTCAAGATATTTCAATTGTTTATCTTTCTCAGCTTTCACGAGTTTCTCGTCATGAGGAATGGCAACATCGATTATCATCGTACGACGCGCCAGTCGGTCTATCACCACTATGTCAGGCTTATTAGCTACAATAGTCCTGTCAGTGATGATAGACCGATCCCAGTACAATGTGATATGGTCTTTTTCAAGAACTGGGTCGGGCACATACCTTTAGTTCGGTACCTCAGACTCAACAAGCCGGTATTTCAAAGCAAGTTGCTAATAATGTTATATTATTGTTACCAGTCTAGACCTTCATGACCTGAATATAATGGCGACGACGGGGGGTAGAAAGATACGGTCACCGTGGATAGACGAGGTGGTGTTGCAGATCAATAACATATTCGCTTCAGTCAACATAAAAGACGTTAAGGTATACTATAGATATAATATAATAGCTTTTGCCCGCGACTCCGGTCGCGTGGAATAGTGACTTACTGCAGATTTTTGGTATAAAAACTATTCTAGGTCCTTTCTCGAATTCCAAACAATAAAAAACAAACTAACACACGCCTAAAATACTGAACCAATTAGTTTAGGCGTGAAGAAAAAACAGACAGACAGAGCTACTATCGCATTTATAATATTAGTATAGACTCATACTAGCGACCCGTCCCGGCATAGCACGGGTGCAAAACTGGTACTAAATTTCTCCACTTTTTAATCGATGTTAATATACAATATAAACAGTCCTCTTCAATCACTCCTCTATAAAAAAAACGGCTTCAAAATCTGTTGCGTAGTTTTAAAGATTTAAGCATACTTAAAGGAATATAGGGACAGAGAAAGCGACTTGGTTTTATATTATACTAGCGGCCCGCCCCCGCTTCGCACGGGTCCAACTAACTCGCTATCAAAGGGTCACTTTTTCCTAATCTTCCCCTCTATAAGAACCTTCTCCTGACAATAAGAAACACAACAAAAAAAGAATTAGCAAAATTGGTCCAGGCGTTGTTGAGTTATGCGCTTTCGCAACACATTTTGCGATCCATTTTTATATATAAGATAGTAATTAGTAACGCGAAAGTTTGAAAGTATGGATGATTAGATGGATGTTTGGGACTTTTTCACGTGAAAACTACACAACGGATCGAAATGAAATTTGCCATAAACACAGATTATACAAAAGGCAAAAGCTAGTGCAAAGCTAGTACTCAGCTGCTCAAGAATGAAAATAGTTACAACTTGTTGACTTTCATATAAATTATACTTATAGATAACACAAAGTTATAATAAAACATAATTTGATTCATCAGAAAAATTTGTTATACTTTCTAAGTAGCTAGTACTGATAAGGCCTAAAAATATTACAATAGTGAATAGATACATTAAAATTCTTGTAAACGCAAAATAGACTACCTACTTATAGGGATTTTTTTATTATATAACTAGCTACTCTCGGTTTCACCAGCTGCTCGGCTCCATTTAAACGTAGCGTGATGTTTTGTAGCCTATAGCACTCAGGAACATTTTAGCTATCTATCAGTGAAAGAATTTTGGAAATCGGTTCGAAAGATTACCCCCTACATACAAACTCTTTATAATATTAGTGTAGACTAGCTTCCGCCCGCGGCTTCACCCGCGTGATATATTCATAAGAAGTAGTCCATGTCCTATTCCGGAGATAGGATGCATCCTATGCCTGTGCTAAATTTCATCCAGATCCGTCCATTCATTTTTGCGTGATTAAGTTACAAACATCAAAACATCCAAACTCCGTAACTTTCGCATTTATGATATCGGTGAGATATCGGAGGTACGAAATGGCTATATTGTGTATTTGTATTCAACAGGTCAATATAACTGATATAGAGATGAACGGGTTTGAAGAAATGACTGGTCCACCAGTCATGCAGCTGTTCAGCGACAGTAGAAGGAAATCTAAAAACAGTACGTTCGAGAAAATTCTTGGTGTAGGACTGAAAATGATCAATCGAAAACTTTTAAACATACCATTCGAAGCATTTGAAGAATATATAACGTCTGAAACTTATTAAATATTCGAACAAATAAATTAATCAGAGATTATTACGCTGGAATCAGTTTATCTAGCGAATATTAAATTGTACAACTTATTAAATTGTTCACATTCCAAGAAATAAGTTAATAATAGTACAATCAATTGTGTGTGAATGTCTACAATTATCTAGTTAACGTAAGGTGAATAACTTCTGTAAGATATATTTAAATAAATACTAAGAATGTTCAACGTGTTTTATTTTTTTATCCATTTGAGCAGAATTGAACTAGCTAAAGCTTTGTTAAAAGAATTTATGTTTTACTATGATTAACAACACACAAACATACTACATTCTACGTTACGCAATAATGAACCGCAGCCTTGGTTTTTAGCCCGTAAGAGAGAGTCTGACAATCCCTGTCACCCTACCCCCGGCGAAGGAAGCCATTTAATGATTTTCCCCTGCCAAAAAAACCGTATCTTCAACCTTCATGCTCCTTGTTAAGAGTGGTGATAGTATTCTGGTTTACCGTATAATGCCATCACGAGGGAAGATGACCTCCCCACAAAAAACATAAAAGGCGGATTGTACATAAATATGCCAATTAGTGGTAATCGAAACGTAAGTTCTTCTGTTACATCTTCGTGTGACGTTTCATATTTTTTTGGAACAATCCCGCCGCAACCTACCAAAACGCTGCAACTCCTGTAAGCCAGGATCTTCAGTAGATACAACCGTGAAAACACCGAAACACTGAAGTCCGACGTGTCCCAAGGACATGAATGACTGTCTTGGATCCCACAACGAAATAAATCAGAAGATATTATTTGAGGAGAAGAAAAACCGAAATAGTTTTACTACCCTCGGTAATTTGACGTCGTGGTATCTCGTCAATCTAGAATCCCATTACATAGTACCGAACCATGCCTGCTACTTGAAGAAATGTTGCTCTAAAGCCTCTTTGCTTACGTCCCGGTTTACATAAGTAGACATTGTACCTATTACCTACGATCCTGTCCAGTTTCTATTTTAAATCCTTCGTTTTAAAATCTTTTTACCACCTAATTTTACTTAAATTTTTTGAATATAATATTTTTTCGCATAAACGCAACTGTGACGTAATATCTGACATGACGACATATATTGCGATTTTATACCGGTTCAGAGAAAGGTATGAATATTTTGACATTTGAATAAAATTCTTTAATTT